TGCTCACACTGTATCCAATGCATCTTGCAGGACGCATTCAACCGACCACACAAGGCGGTTGTGGTTCCCAACCAGAACGGCTTCCCAGGTGTGGTTGCAATTCGAATGATGTGCAAGCCCTCGGAGTTAGACTTGGCGAAATGGGAAGAGAAGTCGAGAACGCAATCTGGAGCATTGATCGGTTGGGGCCAGCTTCTCCAGGCGGTATCGCCATCTCCAGCTGCGGCAGCGCAGGTGCCGCAGACCGCGGATGCTGTGCAGGTACCGGCAACAACCGAAAGGCCGCCCGGAATGTCACAAGGGTCGACAGGGCTTGAAGGGGGAGGCACTCGAAGAGCGAGCGTCCAACAACACAGTGATGTGGAGCAAAAGCGGACTGAGACGGGCCTATCTGAGGATGTTAAGAAGATGCCGGCAGAGGACGATATGAATTGTCATATTGACATGGAGCGGGCCGATGATTCCCTTACGGAAGCGGAGAGGCAGCAGAGGGAAGAAAAGTGGGAGAAGTGGAAAAAGAAGAAGATGGAAAAGTGGGAGAAGTGGCAGGAGAAGAAGAGGGCGAAGGTTATAGAACATCTGGTTGAATCGAAAAAGAAAAGGAATCAGAAGATGTTGGACAAGAAGCAGATGAAGGAGGAGAAGGAGAAGGACCAAGCGATAATGGATTTGATACAGACCATGAAGGAGAGACAGGAAGGGAACGCAGGCCATAACCGCATGGAGGTAGACGATGCGAAACTGGCGCAGAAAGGGGGGGAAGCGGTGGATGAGAAAAAAACACAAGGCAATCCTCAGCACGCAGAGGTGGCCCTCTCTGCACACCCGGAGACGAAATCCAAATCCACAGATCCTGCCGAAGTGGAGGATGCGATGAAAATGCGACTGGAACAGTCGGGAACTGCGTGTGAGGGCACAAAAGTGCGGACGAAGGCAGAAAAGCGGCGGGCCCAGAAGCAAAGGCAGAGGCAGAGGCGAGAGGAGGAAATGCGGAAGGAGAAAAAGGAGATGAAAGGGGGGGAGGAAGAAGGACGTAAGCTTGAGCATGAGAGGAAGGAAAAGGACAATCTGACTCAGCGAGTGGATGCTTCGGGTGGTTCTGAGATGGGTGTCGTCGGGAGCATGATGAACCTCCCGGAGGACACAAATGGTCACGATGTGGGTATTGAGTCGCAGCAGATTAAGATGAAGGCGGCAAAGAAGCAGAGGAAGAAGGGCGAAGAGGAGGAGCAGACAGAAGGACAGAAGAAGCAGCCGGTGGAGCAGAGAGGCGATACGAGGAAGAGGAAGAAGGCAGAGGAGGAGGAGGAGGAGGAGATGCAGACAGTTGAGGAGAGAAACAGCAGGAAGAAACGGAAGAAGATAGAGGTGGAGGAGGTGGAGGAAGAGGAGGAGCAGGAAAGCAGAAGCCATAAGGAGAAGAAGACGAAGAAAAAAAGGAAGGAGAACGATGACGAGGGTGAGGAGGGTGAGAAGGGGGAGGAGGAGAGGAAGGAGGATGCCAATCACATGGAGAGCGTAGAGGCCAGCGAGGCCGATACAAAAGTGGAAAGGGTAAAGCATAGGAAAGACAAAGGGCAGGTATCAGGGGACAAGAAGGGTGATATTCCGTCTAAGAGCGAGTCCAAGAAGGCAAAGAAGAGGAAAGAGAAGGGTGAGAAAGAGACGCGTTATGAACGGGAGAATGATTTCGAGCTCGAAGAGCAAAATGCGCCTACAAAGCCGAAGAAGACGAAGGAAAAGGTAAGTGATAAAAACATGCAGGAGGAGGAGGATCCAGATAGGAGAGAGTCGAAGAAGGACAAGAAGAGGCGTCGAACAGATAATGACGATGAGCGTGAGCAAAGCGATGCCACCAAGTTGAAAAGGAAGAAGAAAGATCATTCAAAATACGAAGAAGAGGAGGTTGGGGGTAGTGATGAGATGAAAAAGGGGTGGGGAGGGCAGAACGAGAAAAAGGGGAAAGAGGAGAGGAAGGCCAAGGAGGGGGAGGAGGAGAAGAGAAGAGAGGGAGAGAAAGAGAAGAGGAGGGAGGTGGGTGGCCATGAAGAAGGGTGGACAGGTGAAGGTGAGAAGGAGATGATGGGGAAGGAGAGGAAAAAGGACAAGCAAGGGGAGAAGAAGAAGAAAAAAGAGTCAGTCAAAGAGAAGAGGAGAGAGGAGGAGGAGGAGGAGTTGCCACAAGAGCTGGATGATGATGTCCATCTTCTAGGGCATGGTGAACCCGAGGAATTGAAGAAGGAGAAGGAGAAGAAGAAGACGGCGAAGAAGAAGAAGAATAAGAAGAAGGAAAACCTTGACATGGAGGAGGAGGAGGAGGAGGAGGAGGGGGAGAAAGAAGTTCATGATAAGGAGATGAGAATGAGGGAGGAGGAGGAGGAGAAGATGACACAAGAGATAGATAGCGATGTCCATCTTCTAGGCCATAGAGAACCGGAGGAATCAAAGATCGAGAAGGAGGAGGAGAAGAAGAAGAAGAACAAAAAGAAGAAGAAGAAGAAGAAGGAAGAGAAGCTAGACAAGGAGGAGAGGGAGGAGGGAGAGGAAGATGATCATGATAAGGAGGTCGCAATGAAAGAGGAAAAGCATAAGGGGGAAGGGGGAAAGGGGAGCATAGTGGCAAAGGAACACGGGAGCGAAACTGAGAAGGTCATGCACAGAAAGAAAGAAGAGAAAAAAATGCATCTGGAACAGCACAATGATTCTGATGTTGTGATCTGCAAGAAATCTGGCAAGGTGAGAAAGAAGCAGGAGGAGAGGGAGGAGGACAAGGAGGAGAAGAAGGAAGAGGAGATCAAGGATCTAACGGTGGAGGAGCGGAACAAGAACAAGTCTAAGGACGGTGAAAAGGCAGACAAGCTTGGCAATATGCGGACCGAAGGAAAGTCGGACGAGGACGGTAAGGCGGAGAGCGATGCGTCGAGATGGAAACGTACATTTTGTGATGGGCCGAACGCTCCGGAGCATGGAAAGCCGAAGAAAGAGAAGAAAAAGAAGTTGAAGGAACGACTGTGTGCGGACGGTGAGTCAGAGGTTGCGGATGGTGCGGAAGCATACAAGAGAAAAAAGAGAGTAGATGAAAATATGGTTGCGTGGAGTGTTGAACGCACGTCGACGGAGAATGCGGAGTCGTCAGAGGATGGGGACGACAGTCGCAAGGACAGGAAAAAGAAGAAGAAAAAGAGGAAGGAGTCGTTGGCAAGTCATGCCGATTCGATTGGCACGAAGAGTGCTGAACATATGCGGATGGTGAACGCGGAGGAGTGGGAGGATGAGGACGACAGCCGTAAGGAAACGAAAAAGAAAAAGAAAAAGAGTAAGGAGGAATTGGGAAGCAATGCCGACTTGATTGACACAAAGAGCGGTGAACGTCCGCGGGGGATGGGGAATGACGAGGAGTGGGAGAAGGAGGGAGTTGAGAATCGAAAGGAAGGGAAGAAGAAGAAGAAGAAGAAGAAGGAGAGGGAGGAGAGGGAGAGGGAGGAGGAGGAGGAGTTGGGCAATGATGGCGACTCAATTGCGGCAGCCCGAAATGGAAAGAGAAAGTTGGCCGAGGATGGGGACGGCCGAAGTGAAGATGAAGAGTGCGTAAGGAGTTTGACGGGAAGACTTAAACCTACACCACAATTGGACCCTCAGCCTGATGAGGAGGCTGCCAAGAAGGCGGAGGCTCTGGATGCAGAGGACTTAGAGTGCAGGGTAAAGGCGCAGTCTGCGGAGCTTGAACGCTTGAAGGCAATGATTCACGGTCTTGTCAAAAAAACTGTACTGTAAATCCTCATCCTTGAAACATGTTAAATCCTCATCCTTTTTTGTTTCTTCTTCTTATCCTCATCCATAATGGACGGTTCGACTTTCCAATCATCTTCCTGTTTTTTTTCCCTCCTGCTCATTGGCGGTTACCTCCTTGTACCCTCCTCCTCCTCATTACCTCTCCCTCCACACCTCCACTTGTTCTTCTGTATGTATTAGTTCCTCCTCGGCACCCACTTCCCAGGTCTTGCCGAGGCGAGTGTGATTGCGTTTTCACATCTTTGTCTCCTTCTTCTCCTCCTCTCTTGTACAGCTTGTGTCCTCCTCTTCCTCGCACGTTTTGCCTCTCCGCTCTCCATTCTTGCTTAGTTGGCATGCCTTTCTTTTTCCCTCTTCACCTCCTCCTCCTCCTCCTCTCCTATGCTGATCTACCTCCTGTTCGCCACCTCCTCAGCTTGCCACACCATCTCCTCCTCTTCGAACTTCTCTACCTCCTCTACCGTGTGCCGTATTCGGGTGGAGGCAGTCATGCAGCTGCACAGGGAGGTGTCCGACGGCACAGATGCAGGATACCTACCTGGACCGACGACGCCAGCATAGTACAGCAATCGTCGATGTACATGAAATCAATGGGCAGGAAGACATAAGATCCAAGCACAAGACAAAGAAGAAACACACACACACACACACACACACACACACACACACACACACACACACACACACACACACACCCCAGAGAGAGAGAGAGAGAGAGAGAGAGAGAGAGAGAGAGAGAGGCACAAGAGACAAAAGAAAAGTACGCACGATAGTTTAAAAATGCAGTCTCCCAAACGTGACTTTTCAGCAGTGTCAAAAATGCATCGTGTGAGACACTGTGAGCAACTAGGGACAACCAGACAGAAGTCCGTGCGGCGTAGTGACCTGACCAGTTTCGGCTGGCTTCCCACCAGCACCCCTCAGTGGTCTGCGTCGCTTATTAACGGATCGATCGATGCAAAAAGGTATTTCCCTTGTGAGAATAGTAGTAGTATAACAGATGTAAGAGTGGGGAGAACTTCAGAAAGAAGTAACTCTCTCGTCAATATCCAAGAAGTGTCGTCTACCAGAACCAGTCCAGAAACTTCTCGCGCCTAGTCGCCACTTACTACGCGCGCAGTCGAAGCATCGAGATTTTTCACCAAAGTAACCACTAGACGAAGGGCCTCGCTCCACGTGCACAAACGACAAAAATCATGGGGGTGTATCTGTTCAAATTCTAGCGGAAGGTTCGCTCTTGTTTTGCGCATCTCAAGAGTATTGCAGCGAGGCCCCAATCCTTGAAAACAAGGAGACCCGACCACGACAAGTCGAGAGTTCGAGGTCTTGAAAGGAACAGGCATTATACGGCAACACCTAGTAACTGCATAAAAAATGTAAAATATACACTCAGGATCAAGTCCTGGTCAGACGAATGCCACAAATCCTTAAAAGTTAAAACTAAATTGAAACATCCCACCCGGTAAACAGGACTTGATCCTGATGGGACCTTGATAGGACCTTGATGTTTCTTGGTCCTTGACATTATGGGACCAAGAACTGAACCGGAACCAAAATGTCATGTCCCATCCGGTAAACAGGGATTTTACGGTATCTAATGCCCATAGCCCTGCGAATTTCCCATGCAGGGGTACCCACAGGGAAGGCCAAGGAAAGCAACAGGACGGGTGTTGGCGGGACGGCCGGCAGAGAAGCAAGCAGTTAACGCAGCAAGGCAACAAGTTGCATCGAAATGGGAAAAAAAAAAAAAAAAAAAGCATCGAAATGGAAAGCTCGGCAGAGTTGCGAGCGGCTGTAGCAGGCTTACGGGGAGTAGTAGTAAATACAAAATAGTAAATACTATATACCATAGTTGCGGCGCACCAGTGCGCAGTGCGGTGCGGGGCGGTGCGCACTGCGCTGTGCGTTGGAATGACAGCACGTGCACTGTGCGCCGTGCGCTGTGTGCAGTGCGCAGTGCGGTGAGGGAGGTGCGCCCTGGGCGTGATATAAATTTAAAAAAAAAAAAAAAGGCCTAGGCTCTCTCTCTCTCAATTAGGAGGATGGTCTCGTCATCAGATTCTGTGGAAGAGGTGGGCCAGACCACCAGTATATGCTTTGGATTCGAGTTCAAGGCTGTAGCTCGGCAGTTATGGGTCACCAATTCAGCTAGAGCCTGTTCATGTCTCCACGTGATTCTCAGGGCCTCCCTCCACCACTCGCCATATGTATACAATATTAGTAGAAGGAATCTTCTGCTAAAACATGGGACCATACACCGCCATATGCTATTTCTTTTGCGCATGTGGTGAGCAGTGGAGCAGGCCCCACTGCATGTATTCATAAGAAAACAAAAACAATAAACTACAGGCATCTTCATCCTAACCCATAACTGCCGACATGCAGACCTGACCTGAACGCCAATCTTCATCATATATTGGTGGTCGGCCAGCCGTGGAAATGCAAGTCGTGACTTCTGCGAAGTTCGCGGGGCAGGTCGTTGCTAGGCGACTACCCCCTTCTTGCGAACTTACCTCACCACTGCGCGGGATTTGCAGAAGGGAGGGGGAAGGCCAGTTTCCGTACCCCGGCTAAGAAAAAAGTTGGAATGAGCCCTATTTTATGCTTTGCCATTTTGAAATTTCTGGGGGTAGGGCCTGCGGAAATTGAACTTCGGCAGCCCTTGCCCAAAAAAAAAAAAAGTTTGGGCCGGGGGCGCGGCCGGTTTGCGAGCTCGCGTGGTGCGTTTAACATTTTTGCCGAGTTGAGGACCCTATGGAATGACAAACCCCTACTTTTTTTTTTTTTTTTTTTGGGACCTAATTTTTACAGTGCAGTGCGCTGTGCAGTGCGCCGCAACTATGCTATATACACATATACACTGTCTGCACGACTCTGGAGGGAATTTCAAAATTGTATGGCTTCTCGTTTCCCTTGCAATTCGGACACCGCTCCTCTCCCTCTGGGATATTTACTCTTCCCACTCTTTTTCCCTTTCCCAGGTGCAACTTTACCTATCCATCAACTGCTGCTACAATCTCCCCGCGATGCAGGCGGCTAAACATATCTTTCACGTCATATGATGCCGAGAGTAGGCGTGTGTCCGCCCCCTTTCGTCTGAATTTCTGCTTTGCCTTCGTGAGCCGGTCGGCTAGCCTTGATACCGCATGCAAATTGAAGTGTGGCTTTAATTCAGCGATCCTCGTCAGCAGCAAGTTGAGGGCCCTGGCCATTTTCTTGCTTGTGGTGTTCATCGACTCCCGAAACGTTGGGCAGATCGGGCGAAACAACGTAAGGTCCTTTCGCTTTGGGGGACCATGTACTAGCTCCTTTCCTCCTCCCCCTATCATCTTCCATTTGCCTAGTTGCCCCAGACCTGCCTGAACATACAAGTCCGCGTAGCTCTCCCGCTAGTAGTAGTACTCTAATTCTTGAATTAAATAATTTAAATTACAATTTCAACCCCTTCTTTCTCGAGGGTAGAGGGCAGGGGAAGGGGAGGGGGAGAGGGGAAAGGAAGGGAGGGGGAGAGAGGGGAGAGGAAGGGGGAATGCAAGGGGAGGGGGAGAAGATGGAGGGGAACGGGAGGGGGGAGGGAGGAAACTGTGGCACATGTAAGGGAGGGCAGATATTGGGTTGATTGGACAAAAGGGGGATTTGACACCATACTGGTACACATCAGTATGTTCTCCTGATCAGTTCAAACTTCACAGAGAGTAATCTGAAATAGCAAAACAAAAAAAGAAAAAGAAGAGTGATCTGACATAGCAAAAAAAAAAAAAAAAAGAAAAAGGACTGATCTGACATAGTGAAAAAAAAGAAAAGGAGTGCTCCGATGTATCAAAAAAAAAAAAAGAAAAAAAAAGAGGAGTGATCTGACCTCTCCCCAAATCACTGGGGGGGCGAAAGGACCAGACAAGATTCAATCTTTTTTATTTTTATTTCGCAGGTGACGCTCTCTCTTTTGTGCAGAGATACACCGGGGGAGAGGTCCTGCCATGACCAGCAAATAGGATTTGGTTGAAAGCCTGAATCTGGACGTGTTTGTGGAGATGCAGAAAACGGTGACTGTATCTGCTTTTCTGAATGATTGTCTTTAACGCATCCAGGTACAAGCGATTAATCCAAAATCCTTTTTGCCAGTGCGACCTAGTCCTTGCTGGCAATCAGGACTAGTGTCCCATCAGGTATGATGGTACCGTCCAAAGGACAAACTCGCACGAGGACCGACTGACTTGTTTCTTGATGTAGTTATGGTCAGATGCATCCGCATCCATCCATAACTACGGTCAGATACATTTAATATAGAGCTAGTGTGAGTACACCCCTAGACTCGAACACAACTTAGAGGCCTCTTCAGCCCAGAATGGGCTGCCGGGAAAAAAAAACATATCTGATCTTCTGTGTGTGTGTGTAGGGGGGGACCTAATCTGGAAAGGTAAGATAGAACTTCTTCCTGATGTGCGATGGATTTATTTATTTATTTATTTTTATTTTTTTTGGGAAGTGCGCCGGATTTCACACGTACACACACACACACACACACACAAAAAAAAAAAAAAAAAAAACTTCGTCGACTCCAGACTGGAGGGCAGCTTTGCGGTGGTTTGCTTTCTTGGCTTGTTGTCAAATCAGTCTGGAGTCGATCCCAACTGGTACACACAGAAATGATGTCCCGACTCTGGTTCCGACTGTTACGTAAGAGAATGATGATGTTCCATGTTGATGCCAGTGGCCGTCTGTTTGGGCCAGGCTAGCTGATGATCCATATCTAGTATCTACTGCTGTCACGGTCTGTTTTTTTTTTTTTTTTTCTGTAGAATGTGTACACCATTTGTCGATTTATGGACGTCATCCTTGGGAAGGGGCGGGGGCCATACTAATATTCTCTTTGTCATTCCGCAAAGCAGGACTGCTGCTGTCTTTTGGGTTACGAAGCCAAAGATCTGGGCCCAATTACAGGAGCACCAAATGTGAAAATGACAAAAGCTATGTCAGGTGTGTCTTCCGTAGGTCTCGCAGAATGTACATGCGCCGTTTAACAAATTCGGTGAGTCGTGCGACGAGGCCCCCGGACTACGTCGTTTGGCGCTC